TGTATTTTTCTGGTTTATTCGTGAAACATCCATAAACATTTTAATAGAACGTACAACATTTCTCCTGAAGGTGTTGATTAAATTGTGTTTTTTTTACATTTTAAATACCCTAAAAACTTTGCTTCTGAACTATGTCTTGCTGTGCAATGCCTAAATCTCCGGAGCGTTCCGTGATCTATGTGTTTATCAAAGTTAAAGTCGAATATAATGACAACGGGCACGACTGGAGACGTATATCTTCGTGGAACCAGTAAACATTGCGTGACGTTTGGTTATATAAACACATCTACACGAATATAGATTTGGGAACGTAGTTTGGGTGCCTGGAACTACTCCAATAATGTACGTTTTGTGTTAGAATAAAGCTGAGTTGATAATGGTTATTGTTCTCGCCTATGAGAAGTCACCGGTTTGATCATGAGAAAAGTCAAGCTTTTTGATGGTTCGAAACTGGACCCGGCTGTCCCTGATCATTGTGAATAAATGATACTGACTCATGAAACAGCTGGTCTTACTCAGTAACAAAGTTACACGTATCATCTCACTCCATTCTACACTCATCCTTCACTCGTTTTTGGGTTAAATACGCACATAGGCGTATTTAGTAGATGGGGCGTCGCCATCTAATAATGATAACTAGAGGTCATCCAGTGGACGAAAACTTGACCAAAAATATGTAACAGACTTCTCTATTTTCACCCCACGCTGTAAATAAAATATATGGTTGGAATTTCTTCCATTTGTTTTGATTTTCTGTTTATATGTCGTTGTTATTTCGTCACTAGCATGGCAGCCCATAAAGGGTCCATGTAAATTTTTCAAAAATTTTAAATTTATTTGTTGTACTTATTTTTGAGCCTTTTTAATTTATAAAGGGATTCGTAGATTTCCCCTAAGATGTAACGAGTTGAGAAGAAAAGGTTTAATGGTTGTGGGTTATCTAATTCAAAATATAAAAAAACAGTATTTGTTTTTATGTAAACCTCATGAAATATCACACTTCACTAAGCAGAGACGATATAGTTTCTCGATGTTAGAATAAAAGTGAACAGTCCGTCATTTGATATCAAGTTATTCTTTTGTTCCAACCTATTGTTTTGCTCACAAATCAAACCAATCGTTCAGAAAGAATTGTTTGTTCCGTTGTCAACAACACAGAACTTTTTTATTTTTCACAATACACGCCATAGCTTTCAAATATTTATCATTGCTTTATGCAACGGATTTAGGATATATTATATGATATTATAGTATATGACACTAGAATCTACACATGGACTATTGCATTACGCTAATTGTAGAAATAGTCATTATTGCACCAAGTATTTAAATTTACGGTAACGTATATTAATTCTATACTTAGTCATAAGATTCATTAACGTGCAGGAAATGGCCAAAATCAGTGAATATTATTTATGTACGGGTTTTCACATAGTAAGAAGTTTTCTCTTATTTGCATGGTTTCCAAATGGCTAAAATTCAATTAAAGTACATATTATTTGAATGCACCTAACTTATTGTAAATCAAATGCAAGTTTCAGTGGATAGATACAGAAAGTCGTACTAAATGTTTACAGGCTGCAAATTTAATCAGCTTGGAAGAATCGGCACTTACTACAAATGACTCGACCATTTACGTTGTGGTTAAGACAATGTAGAATACAAAGTAACCACATTATCTTGCTACGCTGCAAAGTAGGAGCAACGTAAAGAATAACAATGATTATATAACGTAACGTGACGAGGTTGCTTTTAAATTATTCAGGAGGTTTTCATTAAACTGCTTAGCTCAAATAAAGGGTTTTAATTAAAATCTTGGTACTTCAATCAAAGAAGCACGAGCTAAAAGAGTTGAGGTTTTAGGAAAGATTTAGTATTTTAAGTGCTAATTGTTTGTTTGAAACATTATCTCCTGTTTGTTTAGCTCAAGCACAGCACTAAAGCAGCAAGTGGACTCATCAAGAAGAATTAGAAACTTAGATTTATATCCTGTTGACATATTAAACAATGATTGAAGGAGTCTTCATTTTGCTTGCAGGGCAGTTGTCAAATTGAAAATAATTTTACTATGTGCATTTAAGTATTTTACAGATTTACATTTTAAGTTAACGGGCCTAAAACTAATACCACCGTTATTACAATTTGAACAGTTAATAAAATCAAAATTCAATCAACAGTTTGATGAGCTAATAAAAATAACAGAATTTGAAGAGTCAACAAAACCAACAATAAATAACTGGTATTTGAAAAACTACAAAATTAAAATACAATGTAGCCTACTGCCTACTTCAAGGCAAAAATACAAAATATCCTTAGAACGTGTAAATAATGCGGTTGAGTAAACTGGTCTAAAATTAGTAATGTTTGCATATTTTTTTAAACAATGTTCGCTTAAAATTAGTAATAATTTGGAAAACGATTGGTTTTCTACATTATGGTGGCATTAATAATTTGGAATTGAGTTTGTATTTGTTATTACACATCTTGTGTAGTTATTATCTTCTTGTTTTACTACAGAACCATACATTTTCTTAAAATTCAGTGATATTTGTAATTAATGTCGTTACAAAGTTGTAATATAAAAATGAATGCGATGATTTTATGCATTTTACGTAATGAATACACTTTAACTTGGCTATCGTCTTAAAGCTAAACAAATTGGAATCTAATAGCAAAAATAGAATGTGTAATTTGTCGCACGAAGAAATGTATTTTGCAGTGAAAATCAAGCCGTTGATTCCACTTCTTCATCAAGTAGATCAATAGGTTCTACCAAGGATTGTGGGAGTACAAACTTCATTAATTGTTAAACATCTCAATTTCCCTGGTGAAAGGCAAATAAAGTTTCATTGGAAACTTGAATAAAGTTTGCAGTCTGTAATTTAATAAACCTTATTAAAAGTTCAATTGTTATTTAAAGTGGAGTTTACGATTCATTTATTTTCTTACCTAACAACTGAAATTCTCATAATTTCAAATAATAAGATAAATCAATTATTCTATAGATAGGTATCTGTAATAATTTATAAAGTTGCAGATATTGAAATGTGTATATTTATCACATAGCCCACATATATTACCTTTAGCCCTTATGATAAAATATCTCACCATCAAATAATCCAACCGATGTTCAATTATCAATTATCAATCATTGAGATGGGGACGCCACCTAGGTGCGTATTTTAACCCAAATATGAGTGAAGGATGGAGTGTGATGACCTGTGTAGCTTTGTTAATGACTAAGATCAGCTGCTTCATTAGTCAGAATCATTTATTTAAATCCCAATGATCAGGAACAGCTGGGTCAAGTAATGTATTAATAACGTAATGTGAAAAGTGATACAGTAAAGTGTACAGTAGAACCTTGATAAGAAGGCCCTCATGATCAAATATGACTTGTTATCAAGGTTGACTCCTTATAGAGGTTTGCTATAACATGCATTTAATGATAATATAAAATCAAGGGTATTAAACAATTGCATTTGTTATCAAGAGCCTCTTGTTATTTAGGGTATTCTTATCGAGTTGCTACTGTACCTATTACAGTTATGATACATCAATACAGAATACTGTATATTTGTAATAATTAGTTACTTTTGTATACGGAAGCTATCACCTTTCCTGCAATATTTAACTCAAATTTATTTTTCGTATAAAGATTTACACGTTTAAATATTAAGTGTTCTAATAGTTATTCGCAACAAAAATTCATTTTTTCATACTGAATCGCCTACCGTAACATAAAAGTACGTTTGTCATATTGTAAAATTGTCCAAACAAATTTAGTTTAGTGAAATATTTAAATACTTTACCGTTTGTGTATCGATTTCAGAAATTATTTGTATGTTTTAATAATATTTGACATGTTTACCAAATTTATTTACTCGCCGCTTTAGCTCTGTACTTAGGCGATACTGTTTGAGACAAACAACTATCCCTTTAGATAATAAAACATTCAAAAGATCTCAGAAAAATTAAAAATTCTTTGCTCTTGATCGTGCTTTCTTTGACGGAAGTATCAAGATTTTAATTAAACCCTTCTATTTGAGATAGGCAGTTTAATTAAAAATCCTGAATAATTTAAAACAAACTCTTCACGTTATATAATCATTGTTATTCTCTACGTTTCTCCTACTTTGCAGCGTAGCAAGATGATGTGGTTACTTTGTATTCTACGTTGTCTTAACCACAACGTAAATGGTCGAGTCATTTGTAATAAGTGCCGATTACCTCGGGCCGATTAAAATTTACACCTTGTAATAGATTTAAACAAACTTCTAGGTTTGTGCTGTTTTTACAATATCCAGTATTTTATTTACTTTCGCTTATGCAAATAATATGTACTGTACGTTGATGGAATCCAATTTAACCGCTGAGGATACAGCGAATTGATTTGAACTTAACGATTTAATTTTGTTGATTAGCTATATAAACATTTGATCTGATTATTAATTGTTTTAGATAACCTATAACTGAATAATTATAGAATGTTGTACGATTAAGTACATTCAAACACGGGGCGCAGCGATGACTTTTAACATTATACGTTTTATGTATATGCGTAAATCATGAACCTATTCGATAATATTCGTGTAGTGCATTTGCTTATTCTAATTTGAAGTAGACAAGTGTTTAATTTCCCTTTTCATGTGTGGTCAACAGTTAAAAATATATACCTACCACTTTCTGAATAAAAAAACACAATTTAATAACAATTACTCGTGTAATTTTAAAATATATTTCGCATCAATGAGTTAATACGTGTATCTATACAAAATTATAAGATGGATTGTTTCAGAGATTTCAGAGAGCACAAATGTTTAAGTATTACAGTAATCGTACTTCTGAAAAAGTAATCTTACTCTTTACCATCGACTATTTACCCAACTAAGTACAATAGATTTAACCATTGACTATTGAATACGATATAGCTTATCATACTGTATATCACCTTTTAGAAAAAAAATGTTAACCGCATTAAACTCACTTTTTAATTTCAGATTGAGCTCAAAGACTGAAACGTGATTCTTCCTCGGAAGTTTTCCTTCGCTTTTTGTAAGTATTTTACTGTAATCTAAATACCAATCATAACAATCTTTAAACTAGTGTATACCCCAGAGAATTTTTTATAAAACAAAGAAAGGAACCCTCTAATTTATAGTATCTCACCATCGTTGGTTGTTTAAGAAGGAAGGAAACTCTCGTTGTGGTGCTGAAGTAAATCACTTAATTATTCAAACACATGCCAGATGTCCAAACCTAAAGTATTTTAATAATCCAAAGAATAATCAATTCCAAATTTGACAAGTAAAATCCTCAGACATCTTCAATGGCGTTTAAAAGAAAACAGTGTGCGTTTTATGCGATTATAATGATTCATCACTACCCAAATGGTTCATTGTGTTATACAAAATTTGTTTATTATTGTTTATTATTAAACAAAAAATATTAATTTTATATTGCACTAAGTTTAGGCTTAGATGGGTAAAGTAAATCGTCCAACAATGAATTGAATAGCCTAGGTGTTAAATTAACAAAGGTTGAATTTAGTTGAAATTAATTTATGAATTGAATATTCTTGATGGTATGAATATAAAGTTTTTTTTGAATCGTAAGCCAAATTAGGTTTGGTCAGATTGTAAAGTTAAATTTCTTGAAGTAGGCTAAGTCTAATATTCACAAAATGGAGAGTTCTCACCAGGTTGGTTCTTCTACTATAAATTTTCTGACAATTTAGTTAAATAGACTATATGGCAAATTTTGGTACAGTCAAAGGAGTAAAATTATATAACTAAAAGAATTAATGTAGTGAATATGGGCTATAAATGACATGTAACATTGCACGTTTGAATTGTTTGAAGAACCACTTTTCATTTACCACTGTAGTTCTAAGCGATGTGTTTTCAACTTTTACTTTCTCCCCCTATACCATAGTATATGGAGAAAGTATTGTTTTCGTCAAAATTTTCGAGTTTGAGTTTTGAGTGGATATATTCGTTTTGGGTCCCCCTGGACCCAAAAAAGTGGTTTTCGAAGTGATGTCTGTGTGTGTGTGTGTGTGTGTGTGTGTGTGTGTGTGTGTCTGTGTGTCTGGATGTGTACAGAGCTAGAGACTACACCTGTGGTCCGATTTCGATGAAATTTGGTATGTAGGTTTTAATCCATGGTATCTCCAGGCGTTTTTTCATTTTTTTGAAATTTTGATTTTTAATGGGGATTTTCCCATAAAAACCCATTAAAAAACCGGAAAAATCGGATTTTCTCGAAAATGGCCCGAACGATTTTGATTAAAATTTAGTATGTTGTAGCCCTTTAAATTCTGAACAAAATGGTACAAATCCCATTTATGTAAAAATTACGGTTCAAAAGTTATGGTAAATTATGTTATTTTCCCATAAAAACCCCATAAAATAACGAAAATAGGATTTTAGACAGAAATCCAGTTTTGATTTAACATAGTAGGTTATGGTCCTTACAATTTTGATATTTTTTTCATTTTTTAGAAATTTTGATTTTAGATGGGGATTTTCCCATAAAACCCCATAAAATAACGGAAAAATAGGATTTTCCAAAAATGGCCCGAACGATTTTGATAAAAATTTAGTATGTTATAGTCCTTTATATTCTGAACAAAATGGTACAAGTACAAATCCCTTTTCTGTAAAAATTACGGTTCAAAAGTTATTGTAAATTATGTTATTTTCCCATAAAAACCCCATAAAATAACGGAAAAATCGGATTTCCCAAAATTGGCTCGAACAATTTTGATAAAAATTTAGTATGTTATACTCCTTTAAATTCTGAACAAAATTGTACAAATCCCATTTCCGTATATTTACTCTCACCGCTTACACATGATAAAGGTTGTTGACAAACTTATGGGAGAAAGTATGTGTCAGAATGCTGATACCGTTTATTTTACGTGCCGTTATCACTTGAGATCCTTTTTATCCCGTCCACTACTGGTAGTATCACGGTTGGTTGGCGACGACAGGTTGTTGTGGTCTAATCTTTTCCGCCACATTAAACAAAAAAACAGCTCCTTACAATCCGACACACTGCTGTTATGATACTTAGATCTTGGTCATGGATCTGGGAAATATCTTAACGATCATAATAGACTTACTGTATTAGTGTTTTAATGGAGAAATAAAAATGAGTCGCTCGAAATAAAGAATGATCATGTGTGTAACAAATGACAATTTAACCCTTTGGTTTGTAAAGATTCTGTCTATATTTCAGCTTGATAATTTGTAGGTGAGTTTTTTTCTGGATTACATCAACCCAAAAATCATTAAATTCGGTTAAAAATAGCTCGAAGAATTCCAATGTTAATACAGCTAGGCTATGAAAAAAGTGATTTCTTGTTCATATATATTTCACTCGCAAATACTGGCATGCAACCAACTTTGCTTAACCACTTTTGTCATGTAAATATTCTACTCTTCAAGCTTTTGTACCCTTGTCAAGTCATGTCTCATAACATGCATAAAGTTTTGACATGTTCAAACTTCCGACGGGCTTCTAAAAATTCTCCGATTAGTAATTTCGATTTAATTTCACTTTTACAAATAATGTAGGTTGTACCTTTAAATAGTTCATATACGTAAATTAGAAAATAAAATAGCCCCGCTGCAGCAAACCTGCCGACTAGACGAATTTCCATTTGCCTGCATTGATTTTCAATTAAATTTATTTAATTAACATTAGGTTTTATGAGTACCTAGGCTTGCTGCTACAGAGAGGGTAAAAAGGTGTGGTTTTCAGTATCATATTAATATCTTAGTAAATAAATAAATGTACCAAGTTCGATCAAAATATATCGATAAAAAAGTAAACTACAACATTGTACAAAAACACCTTGATATACTAAATTATTTGTGTGTTTTAAGCTCTTTAAAAAGGTCTGCAGAGAAATTAGGAAATTTTGTGTTTAGAGGGTCAAAAATTAGAAAACCCAATTTTTACCCCATAAAACCCCCCGTAAAACCCCGTTACCATGGTCCGATCATGCTGGTTTGCAAGCTCATTCAAGTTTATCCCGCCTTACGCCTTAAAACCAAATTGCATCAAAAATTACTCAAATTTCTCAAGTTTTCGTGTTCAGGGATATATATATTATGAAAACGGTATAATCCATAGGGAAATTCGCTAAAAGAAATTAAAATAATTTGGAACAAAACAAGATATTATCCTGCTCAATAACACCAACAATAAAGAGAAAATAATGTTCGAATAAAGGGCTCACTCGAACATCAAGATACAAGTGGCAGGTCAGAGTGGTAAGTGATTGTGTAGGCCGTTCTGTAATTGACTAACCACTTCCAGCATGTCCGAAGGAAAGTCAGCAGTAAATCATCGTTTGACATGTAAAGTAACAGGACAACTTGTGTGTATATCTGAAGTGCAGTTAGTAACAAAGCTTGATCACTTGACCACCAGACTCGTGAAGTGGCAGGTCATAGTGTAAAGTGGTTATGTGGGTTTTAATTGACTGGCCACCTCCCACACGACTGGACATACGATCTTTATGGTGTCTATGTTCGAGGGGTAGGAGTGTATATTGAACGGTCCAACCCTGGTATTATTATCAACGTTGACTGGTTTTGTTATGAAGCATAGTTAATCGTTAGCTCTGACAAATGGCCTCTTTTTCGGAAATTGGTTTCACTTGGAGTTGAACCAGCGATCTCCAGATTTGAAGGCAAGCACTAACCACTATGTTATTTAAAACTTTTAATCTATTCCTTTCACAATGAAATTTGATATTTCAGTTGAAATCACGTTCTAGCAGAAACTACTTTTTACAATCTTAACCAATTACAAAATAAATCGGTAATGTAGTTATCTAGTAATGACAAAATGTTGTCATTTATTACACTAAAACAGTTGACTAATCATTTTAGTCCTATCACCAAACGTTCTTTGGATATATTTTTAGCTGCTTGTGTTAACTTATGTAACTTTATGAGTGTAGCTCATATTATAATAAACTCTTTAACGTACTGTTTTGGCAACTTTCTATTCTGATGACGAAATTCTACGAGACAACAAACACAAATCGCTCGCTAAAACTGTTGTTTACTTCTAGAACCAAGAAACACACTTGAACGATATAAATTAACCCTACTAACAAAGTATTGAGAGTTAAATCAGTGTAGTGGTACTTTATCAAGGCTTTAACAGATAAATCAAATCATATGTACAACTGATTTTAATGCCAGATATATATATATATTGTTTCACTATTTATTATTCAGTTTACAATGTTATTGACTTGTGCGAATGGAACTATAGTAAGTGCACTGATTCAGTTCGGATTTATAATCATTGAGGTAGTATTTATAAAGTAGATGATAATGTTAACATTTGTACTTGATGAGGTTGTACCGTATGTGTTTCTGGATTTATCCTAATTTGTTTCAAAGATTTGGATCCACGCAATAAAATTATTGGATATCCAATAACACATTATGTTATGCTGGTTATGGGGGAGTTGGTGGGATTTAACTCGCACACATCTTTATTACACTAATGATTTTGTTTTGATACATAATTAACGCGACAAAAGATATACTCTTCCTTTCTATACTGATGCACATTCATTGTATATACAGTCAATGTATTATGGCGATATGCTGAACCGTCAATGGCTTTGATAGGCTAAACTCTACGTAAAAATCGTTCTCTTACCAAATATTTACACTTGTCACTCGAATCGTGGTCAGGTGAACAGATTGAATTCAAACCTTTACGTCACGAACAAATTCAACCAAAATAAGGCAATCCGTTTAGTTCTCGAAACAGGGATGACAAAAATTTACGTTTGATCGATAATATAAAATCGATAAATTTCAATCTATTTTGTAGATTTAACTCATCGATAGATTTGTCCAAATGGATTGACTGAAAAAAAAACCCCTAATAGGCTAGCGTGTTTATTCCCAGTTTACAATAATATATACATTTTTTTATTAATTATCAAACCATATACACCCAACTATGATGACGCGCGGAGTTATAACTGATTTGTTAAGCTGATTGAATGTTCTCTG